TTGTTAAATAGCTTCTTAGCATCAAATAAAATGCAGTCTTGGCGAAAAAGAGCAAGTTGTCAACTATGATATGGTTTGTTTAACATAGTTTCTCAAATGCTATTTGGTACATTAATTCTAAAGGGGCTATAAATTGAATCAATTCTGATTTTGCTCAAGTCTTTGAAAGCAGTTACATCCTATTGCTAATTTTAGAGCAAACAAAAGGGACCATTTTGAAATTCAATACTTGCTATAGTTTTTTGATCAGCAAGCAGAAGAATGAAATCCAATCAATACGTGGACTCTCTGAGCAAAATATATTTCTTTCCTCTGTGGAAACCTATCTTGCTACTTAGACTTCTCTCTATGGCTGCCTGATTTAGTCTGTGGTCTGATCATGGCTGCTACCCTTGCTAAACTTTCTTCAGGAAGCATTCACCCCATGTCTGCGACCATATCATAGGACTGTCTGCAAGCAGACAGTCTGTGTCCTTCCATGTTTCCCCTGGGGACTGATTAGGCTCACCTATTGGTCTTTGGCCTGCAGCTCTCTTTCCAGTTGCATGTTCTCAATTCCTGAATGGGTATTCTGTTCTGAGAATTCACCCAAGTCTTTGCCTACCATTCTTTGCTTCTGCATAGCACAATTCTTCCCCAGCTCTCCCAATGACTGGCTGATCATTTATCTCTGTTCAAATAAGGCCTCCTAACCGCTTACCATCTCAGCTGGAGCCTTTCTGATCTGACCCACCCCACCCCCACATCTACTCCATTCTATTTCATTCACTCAACTAATTGCAGCTGAAACAGTTTATGGTAGTCCAATTTTTGCCGGGTTGCTCTTTTTGCTAGAACATAAGGATGTTTGTGGATTACAGATGCTAGAGGTCTTCACCCCTTTACTACAATACATAAAAAGTGGGCACTTATTTATTTAATAGGATGAATCACTTATTCCAATCCTGGACTTTTTGTAGATGGCATAGGTAACACATCAACAGACCAGCATGGCTTCTGGCTGGCCATGAGGTCAGGAAGCAGAAGACATTACTTACTAGCCATGTATTCTTCTATTTTTTCCCCCAGTGTTGTTTTGAGGTACTGGAGTTTGAATTCAGCACTAGTCAACTGCTCTGCCAGTACCGGTAGAAAGCCACAAGAAAAAACTTATTGTGCATTTATTATTTTTCTGATATAACTTTGATTCCTTTCCATACTGTATCTCATTTAATGCTCATAATGTTGCTGTGAGCATATACTTCGATACTCAATTTTAGATGAGATGTACAGGAGTAGAATATTTCATCCATGCAACATCACAGAAAAGTAAATGATACTGGACTTGACTTTAGACTAACTGCAAAGTGTGTGGTTAACACATGCAATACTGATCTCCTTTCAAAATAACTGATATTGCATTTCCATATTTAGATGTATAATTGTTATTGTTGGAGTTTTAATTCTTTTTCTTTTCTGTGCTATCCTTGAACTTGTACTTGGGACCTGAGTGCTGTCCTTGAACATTTTTTTCCAAGGCTAGTTCTGTACCACTTGTACCACAAGTTCACTTCCAGCATTTTTTTTTTAGTAGTTTATTAGAGATAAGAGTTTTCAAGACTTTTCTACTCAGGCTGTCTTCAAACTTTGGTCCTCAGATATAAGCCTCCTGAGCACGTAGGAGTAAAGGTGTTCCTTTTAAGAGTTCGTTTCTTTTGTTCGTACTTAGACTCTAAAAGTGTAGGATTCATTTATAAGCAAAATTCACATCTGCTCTTCAAAGAAATGCTAAGGAAATTTGGTATGTATTGTTTGGCTGCTTATGGTACTGGGGATTAAATGCAAACTTGCTTATGTTAAGCACCTGGTGCTGAACTGTAGTCTATACCACAATTTTGAGATTGAAAAAACAAACAAGCTCTGCCCTTTTGAGTTTCTCTGGAAGGAGATCCAAGGGTTACTATTACGTGAAAACAGCATCATGTCAAGGTACAGTATGATACACAGCCGGCATAGTCAGGATCTAAGAGTATGGGAATATTGTCTAGTTAAGTTGGAAATCTAATTAATAGCTTCAACTCCATCTGTTTTATTTTGTGTGTGTGTGTTTGATCTTTTACAATACATACACATGCTTTTTTTGGCGGGGGGGGATCAGGTGGTGGGGCCTGAACCTGGGCCTGGGCGCTGTCCCTCAGCTCTTCAGCTCAAGGCTAGCTCTCTACCACTTGAGCCACAGCGCCACTTCCGGCTTTTTTCTTTTTGCTTATGTGGTGCTGAGGAATCGAACCCAGGACCTCAGGCATGCAAGGCAAGCGCTCTACCACTAAGCCACCTTCCCAGCTCCCACATTCTTTTTATAAGTAATAAGGAATGTCATATTTCACATCATTTACTTCTGAATATAATCTGTGTTTTGGTCATCTCACATGACCTGATTTCTAACACTCACCTGCTTTTTTGCCCTTTACTTGCAAACAAAGCAACATGATTTATTTATTTATTTTATACAGCAAACCTCAAAAGTAAGTTTGAAACTTTGATCCACGGTACCTGATTATTCAATGGCATGCTTGTTATGGTGTCTGGACAAGTAGCTACTGGATACGGCCACTTTTGACACGCACATATACAACCACGAAGCTATGAGTACCATTGCTATCAATAATCTCATGTCCATGAGAAATTCCAGATTTTTCTCTTTCTTTGACAATATTGGGGGCGGAGGGGAATTAAACCCCAATACTCACACGTGCTAGACAGGAGCTATAAGCACTGAGAAACAGCTCCAGGCCAGACACTTGACATGTGTCAAGGCACATTCCTGTGTTAGACCTTCTTGTAGCTAGAAAAATGGACACATGTCAATCTTAGCCTCCCAAGAAGATAAGGTTACAGGCATAAGGCACTCTCAGCCAGCGCAGATTATTCTTTATTGTGTCATACGTACACAACTTGATTACATAGGAATTAAATGTAGTTCACTTAGCAAGAATGAACAGTCTATGTAGGGCATAAATAGCAAGATCGGTAATTTGTAGTCAGCGAGGTTGCCATTACTTGGTGTATATGATTTAGTCTTAGAATGTTTTAAACTGAAAATTCTAGGCCATGAGTTAGAAGATTAACCTACAGTTTGAAAGATGTCTAAGGGAGTTAAAAATGAGCAGAGCTAGAGAAAGCAACTGTCATAATCAAACCTGAACTAGGATTTAATTAGAAAATGCTTATAAAACAAACATGCAATTTTCCTCTGCAACCTATTTCAAAATAATCATGATCTATGTTAGTTCATCTTTCCATTAAACTAACCCAGTTTCATAAACATGTGGAAGACTCATTATTATTTTACTCCTGCTGCAACATTGCATTAATCAACCAACTGCTCTCTGATGTTCCAAAGTTGGAAAGAATACCTAACCACCTTGTAGGTAACATCATGCTTACTAAATTAAACTTGCTCTAGCAAAAATTCAATGCACTATCTGGACTTGGCAAGGCCCACCCAAATATATCAGGCACAGCTTGTATTCTTTAGGGATTTGGAGTTTAGTGATGAACATGCACACAGAAGAACCTCTGATACTAACCACAGTCACACCAATAAGAATGTAAACAAGAGGAGGCACAGTTTAAAGGCTGATGACCATGAATCCCACTTTGGGGAAAGAGGTGAATAGCTGAAACTTGAAAGTCAAAGATGATACGGCTAAGTGTGGTAGGACCTGTCTAGGTGGTACGCTGGTGGGCAGGCACAGTGTGAACAGATGAATGACTCGAGTATACTGCAAAGAGTTATGGAAAAGAAGGAAGGTGAGGGCCAGATCAATGATGGCCAACAGTGAACATAACGACATATATGGTTTAACTCAGCCAAAGATCCATTCTAAAGGAAGAGAAAGGCTTTGCCTCTGGTGGAGCTCTCCCCCCTTGTGTGTGTGTGTGTGTGTGTGTGTGTGTGTGTTTTGGTGGTTAACTGAATGGCATAGTCTCAAGGACTTTCTTACAACCCTGCCCAGACTGGCTTCCAAACACAGATCTCAGCCTTCTGAGGAGCTAAAGATTATGAGTATGAACCACCAGCAGCTAACAAGTATCTTTATTTTTATTTAAGACAGGATCTCTTTAGATTTGTGCTTCGAGCTGGGTACCAGTGGCTCATGGCTGCAATCCTAGCTACTCAGATGGCTGAGATCTGAGAATTCTGGCTCAATGTAGACAGGGACAGCACCAAGGACCTGAGTTTAAGCCCCAGGACAGGCAAAAAACAAAAGAAGAAAGGAGGAAGAAGAAAGAGGAGGAGGAGGATGAGGAGAAGAAGGAGAAGGAGAAGAAGAAGAAAAAAAAATTTGTGCATTAGGTGGTCAGTGAGCTTTTTTTCTTGGGCGGGGGGAGGTGTCCATCACAGGGCCTGAATGCTGTCCCTGAGCTCTTAGAAAACTCAAGGCTAGTGCTCTACCACTTTGAGCCACAGCGCCACTTCGAGTTTTCTGGTGGTTAAATGGAGAGAAGAGTCTCACAGACTTTCCTGGCCAGGCTGGCTTTGAACCACCAATCCTTAGATCTCAGCCTCCTGAGTAGCTACAGAGCCAAGCGACCAGGCCTTGCCAGTGAGCCTGTTCATAAAATCAAAGAAAACAGCAGACTAAGCCACCTAGTTAGAGAGCTTGAGAGCCAGTATGAAAATCACACTGTCTGGAAACAGGTCGGGGCTAGGAAACAAATGGCATAAGAGAAACACCAAGAAGAGGTGGCTGGATGCCAATCAACATCGAATGGATCCACCACTCACTTCTGGTCCAAGAATTCCCTTCTACAACGCAAGATTAACATCTTCATAAACTTCCTCTGAAGGAGTCTAAGCAGACTTGTCCTTGGTCAGAGGAAAGTGGAGCTCTCAGTCCATTCACCATGACAAGCTTCCAGCCTCTACCCTTTCTCTAGCCTGGAAGATGGGGAGACCACACATTCTCCTACGAGAATCGCCCCTTCGGATGCCACTCAATGCTCTTCGTACGTACCATTCTCACTCCATTTTCAAAGGCTTGTCGGGTGAGGGGAGCAGGCCCATCTACGGTCTTGCCGTCATCATCTGGGCCCCAGCTGGCGCTGTAAATGTGCACGTGCTGGGGGTTGAAGCTGACTGATTTCGCTTCCACCATGTCTGTGACATCTCCATCCAGCATTCGCACACCTTCAAAGCAGAAAAAGCAAGTGCGCGTTCAGTGCACAACTGTTCCTTTATGACATCCCCAAAACTCAGTATCAGGATTAGGGGAGGAGAATACATTTGCTAGATGTTGTTTGTTTTGTTTTGTGCCCCTATCAGGGCTTTGTTGTTTTACTATTGGAACAAAGTCTTCACCTCAGCTTTCTGCTCTTTAATTGGAGAATCTCCTGGAATTATCTTCCTAAGCTAGCTTGCAAACGTAATATTCCAGGTCTCAGACTCCTATGTAGTTAAAGAATAATGCATACTTTGAAGAGACAGTCTTGGAGAAAAAAAAAAGTCATATTGCATGTAAAAGAACAAATTTTAAAAAACAACTATTTTTTTCCTCTATTTTGTTTTTCCAAGGTTCCAATTTCTACAACAGCTACCATAATCTCTTCTTTCTCCTCATTCTCTCCTAAATGGTACTTGACAAAGATCCTCAAGTAATTTACCTTCCTGAATTTCTCATCATTGAGTAATTTGGGTTCATATTTGGTATAAAATAGTCTAGCCTAGACAGGAGCAGGTGGCTCATATTTAGATATTCAGGAGGCTGAGACCTGAGAATCATGGTTTGGATTCAGACAGGGCTGAAAAGTTCTGACAGTCTTATCTCCAATTAACCACCAAAAAGGCTGGAGGTGGAGCTGTGGTTCAAGGGGTAGAGACCTAGCCTTGAGCAAAAAAGATGAGGGAAAGTTCACAGGCACAGTATGGGCATAAGAAAAAATACAGAAAATAACCAATTCATTCTAACTTTAGCAGTCTTGTAAAAACTCGAAAGTTGTCAAGTTAGCTTGGCTTCATGTCCTCAATATTTAATATTATCTCTTATTTTTCAGATTGATGTAAACTTAATATATATGATTTTTGTAACATTATTTCTCAGTCAAGTAATAAATGGGAATGTGCATAATACTTCAAATAATTCTCAAAGAGTTTTAGCAATAGAAATCAATTTATAATTAACTCCATTTTGCAAAACAAGTCCCTGTGATAAGCAGAAGTAAATCGTATGTCAAATGACTGGCCTTCCTTTTACTCTTTCTTTTTAGATACAATAACAGCACATCTACATATCAACATAACAGCAATAACAAAATACCTAATTGTTAAGTAAACCAACCACTCCACCACTAAAACTAAATATCATGTGTGACACCGTTTTATATAAAAATTAAACTTGTAAACCGGATACCACTGGCTCATGCCTGTAATCCTAGCTATTCAGGAGGCTGAGATCTGAGGATCACGGTTCAAAGCCAGCCTGGGAAGAAAAGTTCATGAGACTCTAATCTCCAATAAACCACCAGAAAACTGGAAGTGGCGCTGTGGCTCAAGTGGTAGCCTTGGGCTGAAGAGCTGAGGGACAGCGCCCAGGCTCAGAGTTCAAGCCTCATGACTGACAAAAACCAAAAAATAAAAAAAAATATATAATCTTGTAAAGAATGAAGTCCTTTTTTAGAAGAACATCATTCCCTAGGTAGAATTACAAAATTCTCTTGGTTTTCAATAAACCGTTAATAGTAAAACCTTAAATCAAGGATTAGATATTATATGAATGGAATTGAGGCTAATTTGTGGGAAATGAAAATAAATCGAAGGAAATATACTTTCTATTTTTCAAAAAATTAACTTTAAAACCTTCAAAAAATAGAAATGATGCACAATCCAATAAACAAAGATTCATCCATTGTTAAAATTTGCCTAATTTTCTTCTTCAGAAAGCACATATTAGATTGAAATATTTTGGCCTCCATGAATGATAGATACAACAATCATTTAATGTATTTTTTTAAAAAATATAGAGTGAAGTCTCTATTGTCACCTAACTTCCAACAACGTGACTTTGCAGCAAATATCTCTACAGATGTTCCAGGTTACATCTCTGTAACGGCTAACCTTGATTGCCAGGTTCACTGAGTTGAGTAGCTAGGAGATTAATAAAGAACACTTCTCAATGTATTTCCTGACCAGATTGGTGCATCTGAAAGCGGCTGAGTGGAGAGAGATCTGGCAGGAAGAGGGGTGGCATTATCCAATTGGCCAGGGCAGACAGTGAAAGTAGGAAGAATCCAGCCACTGTATGCATGCCTACTCTTCCTAAGACAGCGTCGATGCCGCTGGAATTAAGGCTCCATCTTATGCTTTTTCAGTGATTTGTGCCAGCCACTCTTCAGGGGGTTTTCAAGCCGTAGGCCTCCTGCTGGAGCTTTATCCCTGGTTTCCTTATTCTGAGGCTTCTAGCACCTTGGATGATGTACATACCAGATTGAGCATCTGACTCTCTAGCATGAAGATGGCTATTGTTGGACTATATCTGGCCTCTATTTGTATAATCCTATCAATAAATACCCTTTTATAATTATACCTAATTAATTATAATGATCACAGGTCATTACTGTATAATTTATATGTACATATATAATTATGGTATGCCAGAATGCCCATGTATAGAGCCATTTTAAGACATAATCATTCCCTTGATTTTTTTTTTAAAAGAGGAAATTCTGGTAAGATAGGTCAGTATGTTTACATGTTTATCCCCTTCTTTCTTTGGGGTCAGCAAGTGTGCTGGGTTTAGGTTGCAGTGTAATCATGACGATGTAGAGAGTGAGTCTGTAGGTGAGAGTCGAGTCCCAGTGGCAGGCCAGTCAGAATCTCACTGCTTTGGGAGGATGCTTGAAGCATCTGCATCGCTCTTCACGAAAAAGCTTTTGTCTCCTTTCCTTAGTTTTTCCACATTCCATCACAAGCAGATACTCTGAGGAATGCTAACTATTGGACAATCAATAGTCACAAATGAAGGATTCAAGGTGAAATAAAGGAATAAAAGGGGTTAAATGTACAGTGGATTGAGATTCAGCTGACTGTCACAAAACCTTTTCTTAGCATTGTTACTAAATAGGATAGCTCCATCTTATCTGTGGTTTTCCTTCAGTAATTTCAGTCAACCAAGATCAACTAAGAACTGAAAATATTAAATGGAATATCCCAGATAGACACAATTCATACTTTAAAGCAATCTTTCTTACCTAGTGATGTGATAGCTCTCTGTGTTATGTTTTGTTATTATTCATTTATTATCTGGTTGCAGATGATTTGTTCACGTTATGACACTTTCAACAGCCCCGTTGGGAATATCTTCAGGCCAGGCATAATTATAAAATGACTCAAATCTGTGTACAATATTTTCTTCCCATTCGTGAGTGGCTGTGGCAATTGGTTGTTGCTTAGGAAGATGAGTACAAATGAGAATGTCGGAGTTTGGTTCCATCAACATGTATGTTTACGCTGTCTTAACCAGGTCCTTACATTAAAAGGTCAGATAAGTTGATGTTAGGGGAAGGAACCCCAAGATAAGTATTGGAATGTTTTTTTGTTTTTTTTCTTTCATGCAATTGTTTCTATCATATTTATAAGATGATTTCTATGTTGCTTTGCATGTTCCTCCCCCACAGTATAACCCATATTTTCACTATTTTTGATGTTGGTATAATTTGTGGGGGGTAGGGAAAAAAACAAATCATTTAACAAGGAATACAGGTGGACCCATTGCAACAATGAGATGTACAAGTCGTTATGTCCAAAAACAAACTTAACAACTTTGGTGGGGGGGGGGTGGATTGGGTGGGAGGAAGGGAGGAGTATGGGAAGGGATGCAAAGGGGAAACAACGAGGAGGCAACAATGCTTGATAAGAAATGTACTCGTTATCTTGCCCATGTAATTGTAACTCCTCTGTAGGGTATTCTTACAATTAAAGAAAAAGAAAAAAAGGAAAAAACAAACAAACAAAAGAAACGAACAGTGACTTGTTCCAGCTCATGTAATCTCCATTATTTGAATTTTTATTCTCTTTCCTTTCTATTTTTGCTGATCTATTTTTAATTTTCTCTTTGTTATGGCCTATGTTTTGCAAAACTCAATGACTAAATTATATCAATAATTTAATTAATCGGAAGTAAGCCAGACCCAAAGAAACATGGTTTCCCTTATTTGCAATAATTAGTATCTGTCTAGGACAATCTTAGCAGATGAGCAGAATAGCCCAGTAGCTACATACATATGACTGTATAATATAAGATGATGTGAAATGAACTCCAAGACACTGACACAAGAGGTTTTTCGTTGTAGTTGTTGTTTTTAAAGTACTATGTGATTTCTTGTTTCTTTTGTATATTCTTCTCCCTATGGTATATCTCTTGTGGTCACTGATTTGATTTTGGTATCTTGGAATTGTATACACATTTATCATGAATTAGGGAAGGGAAGGGGAACAACAGAATGGTGAGACAAAGGACAAGGGGGAAACCAATGCAACAGCGATACTCACAAGACAATATGTTGGAAATGATCTGTACAATTTGGGGAGAGGGATGGGGGGAAAGTGGGAGAAAAATGAGGGAGGGGGTAACAAGTTCTACAAGAAATGTATGCACTACCTTATGTATGTAACTGTAACCCCTCTGTACATCACCTTCACAATAATAACAAATTAAAACTGTTTTTATTATCTTTAAAAAAAGTGAGTATTTGGATGTGTACGTATATGTGCAAATGTTATTGTTATAATCATGAATCATTCATGAATACACTACCATTAGTTATGGGATGAGAAGAGGATATGTAAACATCATCACGTAGTTACAATTAAAAGAAACTTTGTGTCAGGCTTAGGCAGCACAAATTAAGGGATTTCTGCTTGGAGAAAAGGCTCAAAATTCGATTTCCACAGTGATATTTTAGTCTACTGTTTTCAGTATTACTCCTGGCTTAGGCACCAAATGTCAATGGCACAATTATCTTAATGAATGAATGAAATTTGCTCTCAACCCTGAGATACTTTAAAGGTTCTGCATCAGTGGTCCTCAAACTTTACACTAATTCACATTATCACGCTCACGTTGCTGTCAGAAACGGTTGAATACTTCGATGCATAGATTTGGAAACCCTATTGGCAAAATCGCTGTCTGGCTCTTGTCATATGCAGGTAAGTTGGTGTGCCATACCTCCAATCTTGGCGTTGAAAGCAATGCCCACAGTACAGTGAGAGTTGTTTGCAGCCGCCGCCACTTCCCCAGCACAGCGGGTCCCATGCCTGCGGGGAGAGCACACACAGGAGCAAAAGTAAGACACTCCCAACTCACAAACCCAATGGGTCACAGCCACCACAGAGACCTCAAAGTGGGAGGAAGGTATCCAGAGCTCCCTTACCCACATAGCTCTTAGTCTGTCTCTAAGAAATGTTTTAACACATCATTATGCTGCTATAGATTATATTCTTTATGTGCTTATTTTTGATCTCTTGCTCTCCCAATAAGATTTCCCTGTCAACTGAAAACAAACTGTCCAGGCTTCTACATATACTCCAAATGATTTATGAACAACATCATTGATACTAGATACTACTACATATGTGAACTATACCTAGGACAACTTATTTAATTTTCATTAAATTAAAAAAAATTAATAGTCAATTCACAATTCAAAAGCATTGAGAATCTCCTTTTTAAGCTGTAGACGTAAATACAGATCAAATACTTACAAAGAAAAGTTGTCACCTAGAATGGGTTAAGCCATAAAATACACACTGGATTACAACAATTTTGTATGAGAATAAATGGCTTCTATGTGAAAAGACCTTGAAGAGCATGGTGTCCAAGGGCGGTAAAGAAAGTACAAGCACAAGCTGATCAGAAGGGTTCATTAGAAGAGTGCAATGAGAAGGATATTAAGCAAATCACATCGACAGGAAGAGCACCAAGAATAATGTCTCTCATGGCTACAAAAGAAAAAGGGGAAAGACCAGTGGGGTGTGTTTGTTATTGCGAATGATATTCAAAGTAGGAGGGACCTAACGACTGATGAAGACAAGAGCCCAAGGGCAACTAAAACTTAGGTGTCAAATTCCATTAAAAGGCTTTGGATTCCCAGGTGCTGGGACCTCACAAATGCAATCCTAAATGCTCTGAGGCTTGAGGTTTGAAGCCAGCCCAGGCAGAAAAGTCCGTGAGACTCGAATCTCCAATGAACTTCCCAGAAAAAGTCAGAAGTGGCGCTGTGGCTCCTGTGGCAGAGCACTACTAGCCTTGAGTAAAAAGACGCTCACGGACAGCACCCAAGACCTGAGTTCAAACTCCAGGACTGGTACAAACACAAAAGCAAAAACATAAACCTTTGGATTTTGTTGTTTGGACCACATCTATCATGGGGGATAATCCTAGCCCTACAATTATAAATAAGGTATTGCTTAAAATATCATGCATACAAGTACACAAAAGAATTATATATGGCTTTTTTTCACTTACTAACGTGATATTTGTATTCCTATATAAATGCTTTCTATAGTCTATATTTTTCTTTTTTTTGTCAGTCATGGGGCTTGAACTCTGGGCCTGGGCACTGTCCCTCAACTCTTCAACTCAAGGCTAGCGCTCTACCACTTGAGCTACAGCACGACTTCCAGTCTATATTTTTATAGTATAGGTTTCATATATTATACATTTTATATAATGCATATGCTTCAATATCCTATATAAATAATATCTATATTTGTGGTTATTGATGTACTACAGAGTACTTTAAAATTGATGTAGGCAATATGTATATATTGCTTCATGTATACTCATACTCCAAAGCACATCATGTTCCATACAACATATCCTTTATTTCCCTTGTTTTTTATTAATTTATATGAATGAAAGAATATAAAGGGCACTGTTGAATATATATATATGATTTTGAATGTGTGTGGGGGTGTGTGTACGTGTGCACCTGGGATGAGGTCCTCAAAGTAGAATAACTAGAACAGAAAATACAGATTATATTGTCAAGAAGTTCACAGTATGTGACAGTAATACAACCAAACTGTACAATAAATATATTAGTAGACTATGCATTGTGCATGGAGCTAGAGATAGACAGATCAATGATTAGACAGATGCATGGAAAGATGGATAGATAGATAGATCAATAGATAGATATGAAGGGTGGTAGGGACAGAAAGTCAAGGTAAAGGACATCAAGAATAATGGAGGAATACGGATAAACTCTGTGTACACACACCAAATATATGAGTTTTTGAGTCTTTCTCACTCTTGCTCATCTGACATCAAAAAAACAATTTCATGGTTGATTTTGCCCCAATTATATCTGATGAACATCATTAATTTCTTTAAATTTCTATTTATGGCTACCCTTTTTCAAACCTTTTGCCCAAACTCTTTATAGTTTTTCCTGCCATATCTATTGAAAATATTTACACATTTCAAAAATATCCATGTAGAGCCAGATGCCAGCGGCTCACACCTATAACCCCAGCTTCTCAGGAAGCGGGGAGCTGGGGACACTGTTCAAAGTTAACATTGGCAGGGAAGTTCAGGAATCTCTTACCACCATTAACAAACAGAAAGCTGGAAGCATAGGTATGCCTCCCATGGCAGTGTGCTTGCCTTGAGTGAAAAAAGTATGGGACAGCACTAAGGCTCTGAGCAATCAGTGCTGACACAGATACAAAAACAGTATTCATGGCTGGGAAGTGGTAGAGTTCTTGCCTTGCAAGACTGTAACTCAAGCTTCACATTAAAAATAAGAACTGGGGGCTGGGAAGGTGGCTCAGTGGTAGAGTGCTTGCCTTGCATACAGGAGGCCCTGGGTTTGATTCCTCAGCACCACATAAGCAGAAAAAAGCCAGAAGTGGCGCTGTGGCTCAAGAGGTAAGAGTGCTACCCTTGAGCTGAAGAGCTGAAGGACAGTGCCCAGGCCCAGAGTTCAAGCCCCACAACCGACAAAAACAAAACAAAACAAAACAAAATTCATCCTATACATGACTACTTGGGACTACACAGTATTTGATTTGGCTATATTTGTAATTTTCTTTGCCATCTATTATTTGGCAAAAAACAGATTTTATGCAATTCCCAAACTCAGCTCAGAACATTCTCCTGTACTTAGCAGTTATTAACAGTTATTAGGATTCTTCATTAGGCTCCTACTGCATACTGACACATGGTATAAGTTATTTTTCTTCAGATTTGTAATTCTATTAATGAGTCCACTGTTCTCACTGTATGACGCATTAATGAGAAGTATTCTTGGAGCACAAAGGGCTCTGTTTTAAGATTTGGCTCTGGTTTATTCTTTGTCCCATTGGTTAGCCACACCCACAATTTCATATTTTGAAATGTTTGTAGGTCACTTCTTAAAATCATTGGTAACTATTTACCTTATGATGAAAGAGCATCATTTGAATTTTTAAAAATTCATGTGCCTGGAAAAGATATGTAAACTTCAAATGCTCTTCATGTGTTGATTATATCAATATTATTTAAATTCTGCAATTTTCTTCATGTTCTTATCACTTCTATCAATTCTAATTAACCTTGAATTATTAACCTTCTTAATGAAGCAAATTATTTAAAAAATGTACAAATATTTGGTAGATCTTGGATATTAAAAAGATATCCATTTAATGTTTATCTTGTTTTGTCCTTTTTACATTCCATTACATTTTCATATTAGTTTTCTCTCATGAAAACTTTGGTGGTTTTTTTTTTTTGAAGGTGGGCCATCTGTCTTTAACAAGAAAATGAGAACATTTACAGCAACTGTTTACTGATTCATTCATGTTTCATTCCATAATGTGCTTTTGTTGTACCAATTTGGTGGTTGTACTTCTAATTATTTAATGGTAATCCTCAGTATGTGAATGAACATAGAAACCTAACAATACCAACTCTGAAGCTGTCTCTATTTTTCTCTCCCCATCTGTTTTACAAATAATACATATTTTTAACTATCTGTTCATCTCATACTAATGTACTAGTTGTCCATGAATATACTTACATCCAGGGCTTTTTATCCCTTATGACCATTGTTGATAGGACTCAAAACAACCAGTATGTGTATAGATTTACAAATAAAGTCTTTGCTTCCTTTTGTAGTTCACTCTTTCTTCTTGGATCACTGATTTCATTATAAGGAACACTCTCTAAATGTACCCTTCAGAGTCTTCTGGTAGCAAAAAGGTTTTAGGTAGTTTCAGAAAATGACTTCACTGTTCTTGAAAAGTACTTTGAGCAGGTAAGGAATTCCAAACTAAAAGCACTTCAGGGTCTTCATCCCACAGTTATCTAGCTACCATTGTTCTTGGTAAGAAATCAGTATTATGGACTGTTTCTCTCTAGCTATTTTTTAGACCTTAGAATGTTCTTACCGAAAAAGTCTTTCTTGGAAAAGTTCTCAATCAGTGCCTTCATGTCTAATTCTTTAGAATTCTTAGCTGTTTTCTAAGAAAACTGACTTTTCATTCTTCTCTCCAGTGTCTCCTTTTAGGATCCCAATGATGCTAACATAACAGCAAACTTCCCCTTCTTACAATGTTCTTTCTGTGCTACATTTGATTACTATGTTTCACTTTTCAACACTTTTTTAAAAAACCATTTTGTTAATTCTGACAGTCCGTTATCCCAAAAATTAGTGTTAAAGTTTTTATGACTATAGATTATGTAAAAGAAGTCTAGCACTGTATTTGCTGCTGGTTTGTTTCCACAATGCCATTTTACCTATGTCTTTCCCTTATACCTGGTGAATTTTCCATTTAGGAGGTCATGTTGCTTGGGCTTTTTACCCTTGTGGATGTTTTGAGGTGAGTATGGAAGGCTTACTATTCCAAAGAAAATTTAAATTTGCTTTGGTCAAATATTTTTATTTATATTAACAGTAAGACTGTTCTGCTAAACTTAAATTTTGAACCACATAATATGAACTATGGGTAAAAATCCTACAAGTAAAATTGGTATTTCTGAAATGGTAGTTCATTGTTCATCCTTTTGTGTCAGCTATTACCAGGCTGACATAATGAAGATGGTTCTCCTTTACACAGAACTAGTTTCTCACCCCATTACACCAGTGTTCTTCCCTGACATCTCTAAGTTTGTGAAAATACAGCTCTAGGCTTGCTAGAATTGGCTGTTCATGCCAGAAAATGCATATGCCCACTTAACGATTGGAGCTTTCTCAGAGAAATTCTCCTGGTATCTCACCAAGTTAACCACGAAGTAAAACGTCCTGTAATGGTTTCCCAGAAGTTTTGGATGT